AAAGCCATTTTTTTTTGTATTTTATGAATGGCCCTGTTAGAAAATGCATAAGGATTGTAAAATTCAATTCCCACCATCTTTTGACATGCCCCCCTAAAACCTATCAGTGTTTAAAGTTTCTCATGTTGCGTCTGTGTGCCAAGTTTGATCCAGATCCATTGTTGTTTGGGTTCACCGTGCTCTCTGGTGGTAGGTGAACTACAACTCCAAAACTCAAGGTCAATGCCCACCAAACCCTTCCAGTATTTTCTGTTGGTCACAGGAGTTCCAGTATTTTCACAGTGGTGTGTGGATGTGGGTGGACTATAACTCCTGCCATCCTCTGTCATTGCTTTCAAATCTCAACAGTATTTTAAGTTGGTCATGATGAGTGCCAAGTTTGGTCCAGATCTGTCACTGGTGGGGTTCACAGTGATATCTGGATTTGGATGGACCGCAACTCCCATTGTCCAAGGGCCATCCTCCCTCCCTCCCAAAGCCCACGTGCTTAAAGCTGATCCGACATGGCAAATATCTCCCCATAATTCTATAAGATAACAGAAGGGGAGTAAAGGTCAACCATCTGAGCTAAAGTATCCTACCACATTCCAAGGCTGTACTGTTCTGGTCAATATTTAACCATGAAAGAAAACATCCTGTTTTCTTAAAGGAGACCTAGACTCATTTATGGCTCTTTTAGGGGCTATAGAAAGAGACAGGAGCAATGAGTAACTAATCTCGTCACACTAGTTCACTGCAGAATTCTGGGGTTTGTAGTTTAGGGAGGAGTCTTTAACAGCCTCTCTAAACTACAAACTCCAGAATTCTGCAGGAGGCAGAAACCGGATTTAAAGTGGATTCATTATCAAGTGTGATGAAGTGGTGAGTACACCTGGCTTGCCTCTTTGAGATAACAATATTCTTCTGCGGGTTTCCACTGCAGTTTGTATACATGTATGCTTGCTTGTATCACAACCTTTAGAAGTCACCAAATGAGAAAAACAAGCCTTGAAGAACCCTAAAGAGATACTGAAATCCTTTAAAAGGCACCAAATGGACAAAACAGGTCCCGAACAACTCTAAAGAAGCTCTGAACAACCTTAGAAAGGAACCAAATGGGCAAAACGGCCCCCAAACAACCCTAAAGAAGTGCTGAACAACATTTACAAGTCACCAAATGGGCAAAATGGGATCTGAATAATCCTAAGGAGGCCCTGAACAACATTTAAAAGTTACCAAATGGGCAAAAAAAGGACCTGACTAACCCTTAAAAGGTCCTGAACAACCTTAGAAAGGCACCAAATGGGCAAAAAGGACCTGACTAACCCCCCCCCCCCTTCCCTGTTATGTCAGCTCCACTGTCTGCTGGTCCATTTCCAAGCCCAATTCAAAGTGCATTTTTGGCCTATAAGGCTCTATACGGTTCTGGCCCAGCTGACTTGTTTGAACGCATCCACCCCTACGTCCCACCTCGTAATCTACGATCATCCGGGGAGGCCCTGCTCTTGCTCCCATCAACAGCACAGATGCGTCTGGCGGGGACGAGAAACAGGGCCTTCTTGGTGGTGGCTCCCCGCCTATGGAACACACTCCTGATTGAGGTAAGATCGGCTCCCTCCCTCCTGGCTTTCCGAAAGAAATTAAAATTATGGTTTTGGGACCAGGCTTTCGGACAATAGATGCAAGCAGCACTTTAGAAGGACATTGACTGGAACGGCGATACGGCTGATGAGATTGTTTTACGGTTTTAATGATTGCTTATGTATTGTTTTTAACTATGACTTATGTTCAATTGTGGTTTTATTATTGTAATTGCTATGTAGTGGTATCGTAACGGTACCCATTGTAAGCCGTCCTGAGTGCCCCTTCGGGGGTTGAGAAGTGACGGGATAGAAATACGGTAAATAAATAAATAATGAAGAGGCCCTGAAAACCTTAGAAAGGCACCAGATGGGCAAAACGGGTCCTGAACAACTTTTAAAATGGAAAAAAACGGGCCCTGAATAACCATTAAAAGTCACCAAATAGACCAATTGGGCCTTGAACCTCCTTGTGGTTCAATAGATCTAAACCAAACTTGACATGCATACTCTTCATTATCCAACTTAAGATATTCTATCATGCTTTTCAGAGCTGGACCCTTAAAACAAATTAAAAGGAATGTGTATCTCCAGCATTCAGATACAATCACAAGAGGGCAGTATATAAAGGATTTTCTATTGGTCTTCAATGCAATCCCCGACTGGGGCCAAACTGCTTAGCTTCAAAGAAAAGGCTTTCAGGGGGTCAGGCCACATGAACAAGTAGAATCAGAAAACGGTCAGGAAATGTATAGGCAGACAAGGTGGCATCCTCATGAGCGGGCCCAGCACGACTCTTATCATGAGGCAATAGCACATCCCTGAAGTTCACAGCAGGGACATCCAGACCAAAAAAAGGAAATAAGTAATTTAATGAAGATTTATATTTTAAAGCGTGTGTGTCTACTCAAGGCAGAAATTCAAATTTTATAATGGTGCTTGCTCAATGCAACAATTTCAGATTTTATTTAAACAAAATTGTCTACATCAGGTTGTTGTTTACACCTTTCTATTTGGACTAGAGTGCAACTCAATGCCGAGAGAGTTTGGCTCGCTCATAGTAACAATTACTAATTAGCTTTTGTACTTGGTGTTGTCTAGTTAAGCATTTTCTAATGCTATTTATTAGACATACTCATTGTTAGCTTTGTGATATTATCAATTGTCCCATTAGAAAATGCGGACCTGGGCAATGCTGGGTGTACAAGCTGGTTTTACAGGTATTGTTAAGCCTCCGTATATGCTATGGATGATGCGACAAAATGTAAAGATCTAAGTTACCAACGTATTATGACAAGGTTAGTCAAGTCTTTAAAGGGACAATGAAAGTGAGGTTCATGGGCCACATGCACCCCAAAAGCTATTTTTTGTGAAGGGCCCTTATTGGGATGGCCAGGTGAACCAATTGAATTTAGTCATCTGCGTTTCAGCCAGAATTCACAGGAATCAATATTCTTTTTCAGTTGAGCCGCTACCCAGTGTCTTGCAGACTGGCACTTGCTATGGACCACGGTTTTCAGAAGCAGTCATGTAGATGTTTTAGTTTTCAACATACAGTTGTCTTTGCCAGCTTGGATAGGAACTCATCCAAAAATATGGGGAGCCAAAGGTTCCTCATGTATGGCTTGGACCCCAAGACCTGAGCATCATCTTACCCTATATGAGCCTGCCAACACCCTCCAGTAGTCCCAACTCGCAGGAACAGCCGTAATGACTCCTTTTTGAGATGCATTTCAGATGCTGCTGAGCTGCTGACCTGAAGGTTGGCACTTCAAATCCACAAGACGGAGTGAGCTCCCAGCTGTCTGTTCTTGCTCCTTGCAGTTTGGAAACATGCAAATGTGAATAGATAAATAGGTACCGCTTTGGCGGGAAAAGGCAAAGAGATGTTCCAAGCAATCTTGCCAGCCACACAACCAGGAGGTCACAATGCAGGCTGAAAATGGAGAAAAGCACCTCCTCACAGCCCCAGAAGCCAGAAATGAAAGGAGAAGCCTCTGCCTTTGTTTGTGTTTGTGTGTTTCATTGTATATGATTGTAAAGGCATTGAATGTTTGCCTGTGTATGTAAATACTGTAATCTGCTCTGAGCCCCCTAGGGGTGGAGGGCGGAATATAAATAATGTTTATTATTATTGTTATTATTATTATTATTGTTATTATTATGCCTGTTTCCCTCTAATACTGTACTTTCTCCCGCTCTCTTTTCTTCTTCCTCTTCCTTCCTTTTTGTTCCCTTCTTTCCCCCCCTTCCTTCCCTTATCACTTTTCTTTATTTCCTTTCTCTTTCCTTCATCTTTCTTTCTCTCCTTTCATATGCTTTCCTTTTGCCTTTCTGTTCCTTCCTTCCTTATGTCTTCCTTCTTTTCTTCCTCCACTCCGTTAATCTCTCTCTCTCTCTCTCTCTTCATTCCTTCCATTAATACAAGTCACCTAACAGCAGCCTCTTCACTCTCTTTCTTTCCTCGTCACATCACAGAGGGCCCTTTCTCCACCCAACAGCATATCCTTCACAAATCCAAAACAAATCCACTTTGATCCTTTTCTTTCTGTCTGCTCTGGGCCTGAAAAGGATGGTTCTTTTAGCTCAAACCCAGCAGTTATTTTAAATTTAAATAGAGGGTATGGATTGTTGTAGGTTTTTCGGGCTATATGGCCATGTTCTAGAGAAGCATTCTCTCCTGAAATTTCGCCTGCATCTATGGCAAACATCCTCAGAGGTTGTGAGGTCTGCCAAGTCTGGCCCAGATCCATCAAGCCAGGTAGAAGCCTTTGTGGTACAAATGGACAAACATACATACATTCATATAATTAGGCTGAAAAAATGCGGTATAGAAATAAAGCAAATAAATAATAAATATTTGGTTGTAAATATACACGGATTAGGAGGGAGTATTTGAGGTTTCTATGAAAGATGTTTTCTTTTTGGTACCCAGATTGGTCCCTTTTGAGAGGTTTTCCACTGCAGTGAGAACACCTCATTATTTGGAAGTAAAGCATTGGCCTTCCGGGATGTGCTTTTATTCCCCCGGTGATGGTATGCTTTCTTGACCCCTCCTAGTCGTATTTATAGTTTTAGCTGCTTGGTTTTATATTTTATGTGCTGTTTCATCTTTTATGGCCACTTTTATGTTGTTATTGTAGCTTTATTGATGGGTGAGCTGTCTTAGGCAGTTTAGGAAAAGGCAGGGTGGGTTTTTTTATCAATAGATTTATTTATTTGGCAAGTGTGCTACAGGTTGCTCTTGTCCATATAAGAATGATGGTGCAGAAAGAATAAAGAATTACTCTTTTTGTTTCATAAGGATCATTGCCGGGCCAGCAAGCTGTCAGCAAAATAAATAGATTCCTGGGAAGCAAAGCATTGGTCATATTATCTCCCAAGGGCTACTTTAAGAAGATTAAAGCACTCAGTATTTTTTCTATTAATAGGTAGCGATGTCATATCCAGCAGGAAAGGTTACTCACCCCAGATTTCTAGACACTAGCTGCAAAGGCGCCACTATCATTGTCTACTGAACTGGATGGATCTTTCTAATGTGCAGAACATGCAACAGTGTAAGGACTCCCCATTTTGGCTTGAAAATGAAGAAGTTTTCAAGGTGAGCAAAATTTGGGCTGAATGCTTACTGTTGAGTCCCTGTCCTTGAGAGAAAGCTGCATAACACTTGGCAGGGATAATAAATCTGACTGTAGCACTAAGCTATATAAACTAGATTTTATGTTCCCTGCCTGTAGTAATGATTTCTTGTTGTTGTTGTTGATGACCCTAGAGTTTAGTCAAAGCCTAGCCTAACCTAAAATGTCGTATTTATCAAGAATTTTAGGCAGTGGTGTCTCCAGTGTTTTAGGCAGTGGTGTAGTAACCCTGCTCTGGTTTTCAATTTGAACTTTAAAGGAGCTTTATTGTCGAAGGCTTTCATGGTCAGAATAACTAGGTTGCTGTAAGTTTTTCGGGCTGTATGGCCATGTTACAGAAGCGTTCTCTCCTGACGTTTCGCTCACATCTATGGCAGGCACCCACATGGACGGAATCACTAGGTTGCTGTAAGTTTTTTGGGCTGTATGGCTGTCTGACAGAATCATTCTCTCCTGACGTTTCACCCACATCTATGGCAGGCATCCTCAGAGTTTGCCTCTGAAGAGGCCTGTCATAGATGCAGGTGAAATGTCAGGTGAGAATGATTCTGTCAGACGGCCATACAGCCCAAAAAACTTACAGCAACCTGGCCATGCCATCCAAAAAACTTTGAGCAACTTTAAAGGAGCTATCTAAAGAACTAAGCCTAAAGCAAGGGATTTAGTCTGAATTTTAAGTGACTATGCAATATGTTGAACCCAAAGGAGCCTTGGACAGCTAGTTTACAGTTCAGACTAAAAGCCAGAACAGAGATCCCACTGACATCACAGCCATCAGCAATTTTCATTTTCCGAGAATATCTTGCTCTAAACTAGGTGTTGGTTTCTGTATAGAGATGTCTATGTAGAATGCAGCCCAATGCATTTTCTACATTGCATTCCCAATTTTCCCACTATAGATTTTTTTTTATAATTTTAAGCTGCTCAAATATCTTATTAAATAAAATAATCATTTTATAATAAAATCATTATTAAAATCTTGTCCCTTTTAATTTCTTTCTCCTCAATGCTAAAAAGTGGTGCCCGGTGTTTCTTTATCCGAAGAGCAGTCCTTTTGGCATCGTGACCCACCTGTAGCGATGGCTGCCCTTTTTATCAACAAGACGCTAATTGTGAACAACAAGGATAACGATAAGTTGGAACTGGAACGCGAACTCATCTGCGCGCTGGAGAACAAAGTCATGCTCCTGTATTTTGGCTCCAGCGAGTGTCCTGAGTGCAAAGAGTTTGCGTCCGTCCTGAAGGAATTTTATGTGAGGCTCACAGATGAGTTTTATGTGGAGAGGGCTTCCCAGTTGGTTCTGGTCTATGTGTCGCTCGATGAGACAGAGGAGAAGCAAGAGGAGTTCCTGAAAAAGATGCCCAAGAGGTGGTTGTTTTTATCCTTCGATGATGAATTCAAGAGGTAAGAATGCTTCAGTTTAACCCAAGCAATGCTCATATTCCGAGTAAGATGTATTTGCTTAATTTGCATCATTTACTGACTACGTTTTAACCTCTCAAATAGCTAATATTTATCTCAATGATTGGAGAAAACGTTACATGAAGAAAAAACATTGTCAAAGCAGTAAGAACATTAGAGTTGAGTGAGATCTTATATTTTATTAAGTCCACACACCTCTGTTCAGTGTAGGATCCCAGGACACCCAACTATCTCTGAGAGTTGGGTGTCCAGCCTTTGCTTATACTTCCAACAATGAGAGCAGGTCAAGCCATTGTCACCTTGCTACTCAGTTCTTGGAAGAAAGCTACTTACATAGCAGAAGAAGGTTAATTTGTTTTTTGCTGGGATACTTAAATGTGTGTGTGAAGACAAGGGGGATAGAGCAATTTTTTAAATTATCCAGCTTCTACAGTACTGTTGGCAACAAAGATGTGGGGTCGTGATTATCAATTGTGGTCTAACTCAGCATTATGAGACTTGGTAATAAACGGTACTCCTATCTGATTAGAACAATAAGAAAATGTTAAATGCAACTTTTCCTTCTAGGCGTTATACTGCTTGCATCATTTATGGCCCACACTAATATCAGGAGTTGTAGTCCACCATTTCTGAAGGACATCCAATTTGGAAATGTTGGATTAAATATTTTGAACAGTGGGAGAAATTTGCAATGATGTCAAATATTATATATGATATTTATAATCTTGATTAATTTCCCCCTTCCCCTCTTTATTAGGTTATATGTTGTAATAAAATTGTTGTGCTCAAGCACACAGCCCTGTATTGTATGTCTCTGGTTTCTGGAGGCAAGAGGTACATAATATGATGATATCGCAACATTGAATAAGTGAACCTACATTTTGTGTGTAGAAGAAGGAGGAGGACCTGATGTAGCAATACCAGGTTAAGGTTGTATCCCTTATGTTGACTATAATATACAGTTACATCCCAAAGTGGTAGATCAACAGAGGAAATGAGCAATCACCAAACAGCTATGCAATTATGTCTCTGAGGGCTTTCCAGAAAAAGGCTCAAATAATAAATAATAATCTTTCATTCAGAACATTGAATTCTACAAGGAGTTTATTGCTAGTGATTTTCTAATGTTCCTTCCTCTTGTTTCTTACCACACAAAATTAGTTATGGAAAGACAGGATGGCTGCAGTGAATTTTAAGTGGCAGTGCTGAGAGCCACCAACCTGTATCCACTGTTTTCTATGTGAATCCATGTGGTCTTGTAATTGGAGTGTAGGAGATCTAGTGCCTGATCTCTGCTGAGCCCTGAAACTCACTAGGTGACTTTGTGGCAATCTCTTTTCCTTGCCTGACCCAAGTCACAAATTTGTTGGTCTAGTGTGCATGTGTGAAATGCAAGGACAGTGGGGAGAATCTACACACAACATCATTTTATGTGGCCCTTGAGGTAATCACTGCCAGAGCAATGAAGTTACAATAAAGGTTGAGAGGAGACATAATGGCCATGTATAAATTTGTGAGGGAAGTCATAGGGAGAAGGGAGCAGGCTTGTTTCTGCTTCCCTGGAGACTAGGACACGGAACAATGGCTTCAAACTACAGGAAAGGAGATTCCACCTGAACATGAGGAAGAACTTTCTTACTGTGAGAACCGTTCATCAGTGGAACTCACTGCCCCAGACTGTGGTTGAAGTTCCTTCTTTGGAGGCTTTTAAGCAGAGTCTGGATGGACATCTGTCAGAGGTGCTTTGAATACGATTTTCCTGCTTCTTGGCAGAATGGGGTTGGGCTGGATGGCCCATGAGGTCTCTTCCAACTCTAGGATTGTATGCTTCTATGATCCTATGCAGTCTTACAATTACAAATGACCATTTGAAGGCAACCATGAGGCCGATGTGGCCCTCAGTGAAAATGAGTTTGAGCATTGGACTATGACTTTGGAGACCAGAGACCCAAAAACCCAACTGTTATAGTTATCTTAGGGCGCCATAGTCAGTAAAGACTTAAGCCACATAACAACAACAGCACCAAGATGATGAAAGCTGTGTATATCACCTTGAGCTCATAGAGGCAATACTGGGTACAAATGTAACTAATAAATGAACTCATTTTTCTAGGGAGCTGGAATTGAGATTTTCTGTGAAGACCCCTCCAGTGGTGGTGGTGCTGAAGCCAAACGGAGACATCATTGCTGCAAATGCTGTGGAGGAGATCAAGCAGGCTGGCACAGCTTGCTTCAAGAACTGGCAGGAAGCAGCAGATCTGGTGGAGAGGAACTTCCGGCTACGAGAGGACTTTGACTCTTTGACTTTGCGGAGCATCACACATCCCCTCCGTCGACTGAAGTACAAAGTGGCAAAGGACAAAAGGAGAAAGAAAGACAACGATGAGGATGAGGACGAGGACAATGCATTCTCCTGATGGGGCATTTCTTCTGCAAAGGAACTCACTCTCGCTGATCTGCTCTCTTCCCAAGAAGAATGGATGTCATCTACTGGTTCTGCATCATATGAGCACAGCAACTGTCATTAAGCAGAGTCATCAGACAATCCGAGCCCTGGCCTATTATTATTATTTTTCTAAATTACATTTCTGGCCCTTATTGCTATAACAATACTCTTGACAATATGTTGATAAAACTTAATTGATCTTTATTAAAATTTCAGAACCTGCGTGGTGCATGACATGAATGTGTGAATCCCAAAGGTGAGATTTTTCCCCTCCACTATTTTCACAGGACATTCTCAGTACAGTCTAGCCTCATTCTCCATGAAAGGAGAAACCAAGTAAAATAAAGGTACACAAATATAGTTTATCCACTGTATCTGCAGGAGTTCAGTTCCAGGAACCACTGCAGATATGAAAAATGCAGGTGATTGTGCCCTATATTATCAAATAGTGGCAACATGAATGCACGTGCTTCAAGATGTCCAAGTTCACATAATCACCATTTACTGCTATGGGTGAAACGATCAGCGATCGCTTGAGCTTCGGAATATAGAGAGTATACTTGCGTACCCTCCATATACTGTATACTTTTTGTTCTTTGCACATTTTATACAGGTCAAGACTGCTGGAGTTAAATTGCCTTCAATTTTTTAGTTAAGGAAAAGCATGATCAAGGACAGTTGGAATAAAATACAGGATTGGGCAGAAATTTTGGACTTCAACACCCATAATCCATTAGGTAAGGGGCTGTGGTGGCGCAGCATGTTAAACCACTAAACTGCAGAACTTACTGATCAGAAGGTTGGCGGTTCAAATCCATGGACAGGGTGAGCTCCCGTTGTTAGCCCCAGCTTCTGCCAACCTAGCAGTTTGAAAACATGCAAATGTGAGTAGATCAGTAGGCACCATTTTGGTGGAAAGGTAATGATGCTCCATGCAGTCATGCCAGCCACATGACCTAGGAGGTGTCTATAGACAATGCCGGCTCTTCGGCTTAGAAATGGAGATGAGCACCACTCCCTAGAGTCGGGCTCAACTAGACTTAATGTCAAGGGGATACCTTTACCTTTACTTAATCCATTAGGTATCATATAAGTGATATTATATTTGCTGCATCATAGAATAAAATCAGCTTCTGGATCAGGAGAGCTCACTGTACATCTTTTCTTTTTTGCACATCCTTTTATACTTCACCATGGGTAATACCTGTATCAAGGTTGAAAGCGTGAAAACTGGAGAAGGTGCCTGTATCTTTGTTGTAGAACAGCAAATTGCAACAGACTTTGCTTTTTACCTAGTTATATGAGAAGCAATGTCTGCTAAAATTCCCTTTTCTTCAGAATCATTAAAAATGCAAGAATCCTCGACAGTTTTCTTTCTGGCAACCCTAGATGCCATACAAATGTGATTTTTGTATGTGACTGGATCAGGAACACATTTCCGGAACTGAAAACGAATTTCTGAATTGTGCATGTGCTCAAAGGCACTCTTATACCTTTATTCTAGGGATATATGTATTTCTTCTTAGCAAGCCACTATTTTGCATTTAGTGAACTTCTATTAAAAATTACAGCATGTCCTATAGGCCTGGTGTCTTTGGCCCTGACCTAAAGATGCTTAAGTTGAGTGGGCAACATTACAATTTTTAAAATGGGACTAAAGCAAATTTGTGCATGTGTGTGCATGTATAAACAAATAAATAAACACATTTATCCACTGAAGAAGGAAGGGTGGAGCTTCAAAATGAAAAGGGCAAGTTCAGTCATTAATTTTAGCCATGAAGGGAAAATGTCAGTGAGTAAAAGGTCTATCTCACTTTTTCGCTAGTGAGAAAGGGGTCTTCACGTGCTTATGGAGGGTTGCATTTTATTCTTCTTTTCTGGCGGGTTATCCTGTTTTATAAAAAGTCCAACACATTTGGGTCCTCGTATTATTTTTTTGGCCTTCTTCAAAGATGCACTAGAATAAAAATAAACACAATAATAAATTAGACTTCAAAGTTTAGGAAAGGGTAATATGTATTTCTGTTACATTTCTTAAAGTTTGGATTTTAATGTCTTTTAAATATAAGGGCTGAACATGTTGAGTTTTTCAGAAAATAAGATAACAAAAATATATTTCAAGAATAAAATATAACCATCCATAACTACGTGAACACCTGTTTCTGGTTTTCCCTATGGATCCTATATATGTACTTGCCAGCACCAGTCTGTAATTTTTTCTGATATTTTTCTAGAAATCCCATGTTTCCTGACCAATTGTATGGGACGATGTAAATTTCTTTCAAAACATGGCCAAATGTTCCCAGTTCCAGGCTAGGATGGTTGGATTAGGAGATTTCAGGGCCAAAGCAGGAGGCCTGAGGGTGAACCTTTGTGGTATTATGCGAGTGGGCTCTGGCATTGCGATGGGGATGATGTTAGAAAGTATGTGCCATTAAAATAAAGAAGAAAAGTCTAACAAATGGACTCGAACGTTTGCATACACACAAACCACAAGACAGTATTTTGCCCTGAGATTCCTCCCTTTGTCCTGAGGAATCCAGTTATCACAGGCTAAGGAGGCAAAGGCAGAGGAAAGTTTTGAAAAAGAAGACTCTAGTTTCTGGATTGGTATCATGGGTTTTTCCATATCTTTCCCCTCACCATTAAGCATAAAACACACTTGCAAAGTATGTTCCTTTCAAATAAAAATATATCAAGTCTAAATAATGAAGAACAAATACAAACAAACTTCAAAGCAGCATTTTGCCCTGAGATTCCTCCAGTTATAACAGGATAAGGAGGTAGGCAGAGGTAAGATTTTAAAAAGTAAACTTCCAAGTTCATAGATTGGTCTCATAGCTATTTCCATATTCCCATCCCCTGTCCCCAACCCTACATCTCTCCAGCACTCTTAAATGCAGAATAGTAAAAACTAGAGTAAGACACAAATACTCTGCTTAGAATGATCTGTTATCACCATTTGGAAAGGCCCTTGTTCCACATCTATGCTCAAACCAGACTCACAAAGCCGAACACCTTCTTGTAAGCCCTCAGGTAGGGAAATGGTTAATAAGAGAGAGTAAGGTACGAGAGCTGGCTTCCTCATGTCTTGGGCAGAGAACGAGAGTCACTGTGGGAAGAAGCCTTTGGTTTCATCACTCTTGCCAAAGGAATGTGGAAAATCTGCACCGCCTTACACTCTTATGTCTGCAACCTGCATGGCTCATCCATTCCTCGCAGAGCGGTCGACATGTACTGACACTCCTGGGTCTTGTCTTTTGGTCACAATCTGTACCATGGGATTGGCGTGTCCGAGATTCAGCTTTTAAAAGAAGTGAGGACTTAGTTCTCCAGAGGTGATCTTCGATGGATGTGACTCCTTTCTCCAGATTTGATTTCTCAAACCTGGGCACACCTCTGCTGGAAATCCTTTGAGGGACCTCCAGAGAGGAATTGTGAGATTATTCTGCTCATGAGTTGATTTTTCTCTGTTTCTCTGTTGGAAAATGCATAAACTTGTCTTCCACTTTCATCTGTTCTTCACAGACCTTTCTCTTATATTGAGGTCTGTTTAATGACACCCCTTCCTATGCCACTCCTAAGAGATCCTCTTGACTCCTCAAGCATGAAGGCTCCCTTGCCACCTTCAACAGACTCTGAAATATTGGAAAAATTGCTAAATTCTTGGAAAGCAACAGAGTTATGCCTACAGAACCTGGGCATGATGGACCACAAAGGAAAACCATGCTGAAGATATGGATGCTCAGAAAATAATTAAGTGTACATCTTCCAGCAACAGCCAAAATTGTAGAGGTTCAAGAAAGGTGCTGGCCCCTGAATGTCCTGCTGGTGAAGGCTGCTGGTTGGTGAGAAGATGAACAAGGCCAGAGACCAAGATGGCTCCAGCAGTCCTAATAATGGCAGAGAGTCGCCAGTGAGCAATGGCTTCATAGCTGGTGATTCGGGATTCCTGAATGCTGTTTGGGCTTCCATACAGACATCTGCTTCTGGGGAGAGCATGGGATGGGTTAATGCATGCCCAAACCAGCTTCTCCAAGTCACTAGGCACCTCAGAGACATTGATGAAAAATTCCAGAATTTCCGGGAACTTTTCCAAAGAGGTGGTAAGTACAGGAAGCAGTTTCATTAATGTGTTTATTGATTTCTCAGTGTACCATTTATCATGTCAATGAGGTTTATAACCTCATGATAGCCCTCTGACCTAGGTTAAGTAGGGGATGTGTGAATATGTTTGTTCTGGGCATATTATATTTATCCATAACTCCGTTCTATGTCTGCATTCAGCTGCACATTAATTTTTTTAAGTGTTCTCTAGAAATATTTAAATGTTTGTTCTTCTCCCAAGACATATATACTAAATGAGAACTTGGAAAGTGATTATAAAAGAGAAAAAAAAATAATGTGCTTTTTATTTTGAAAAATTGCTACATTTGCTTGATATTTTATGAGTAACATATTAATCATATATTTCTTTTATATAAATTATTATTATACTTTAACAAACATACATACATACATACATACATACATACATACATACATACATACAAAGATGGCTTAAAATGGCCAAAAGCATTCCCTCCCAAAAGACCATAACAATGTTTGTAAGAAGCATGTAAGCATTATCAGTTATCCCAATAAAGAAAGAAAGCATTTTGGATAAGGGTAACTCAACCTATACTTCCAAGCTCTGGCTTAAAATGTGTATTTTCACTAAAGTGCATCTTTTCATACATTTCAGTTTCCAAAACTGGTGTTGGAACTTTTAGAAAATGGGTGAATAGTTACAGTAAGCTCTGACACACACATCTCTCCAGGAAGTGCAGACCAGGTCATTCCATAGAGAAATTCATCAAAATCAGATTTCTAAAAGTCTGAGAGGTGGTTTTACCAGATTTTTGAGAGTTTAAACATATGGACAAGGCTGACCTTACCATTATGCATAATATGACAACAGCTCAGGGCGTAAATGCAGCAGCACAATATTGACAGACCCTCCCCATCTCTCTTGAGCTCCAGCAATTTGTTCAATGACAAAATGGAGTGTGTCACATAACCTGTCCCCTAAAACTAGCCTGTTGCCCAAAGATAGGCTAAGAGATTGCATTTGCTTGTCTGTGTTCCTGTTTTGTTCTTCCTTTAGGCCAGTGGTTCCCAACGTGTGGTCCATGGACCACCAGTGGTACCCAAGAATGAAAATATGGTCTATGGCCTCATCATTATGACACTGTTGTCTCGACTTCGACTTAGGCGATCCCTTGCTTTCCGAGGATGATTGTCTTCCAATATTCTTGTGGGTCCGTATGTGGCTGTGGAGCCCTATTCTTGCTCTGCATCTTCTTCCGCAGTGAGGGCATTGGTTTCCAGGTGGAAGGCGGTCTCGGCCGGGGTTGGCTTGATGCGCCTTCCTCTTGGCACGTTTCTCTTTTTCACCCTCCACTCGTGCCTCCTCAAATTCTGCAGCACTGCTGGTCACAGCTGACCTCCAGCTGGAGCGGTCAAGGGCCAGGGCTTCCCAGTTCTCAGTGTCTATGCCAGAGTTTTTGAGGTTGGCTTTGAGCCCATCTTTAAATCTCTTTTCCTGCCCACCAACATTCCGTTTTCCGTTCTTGAGTTTGGAGTAGAGCAGCTGCTTTGGGAGACGGTGGTCGGGCATCCGGACAACATGGCCGGTCCAGCGGAGTTGGTGGCGGAGGACCATCGCTTCAATGCTGGTGGTCTTTGCTTCTTCCAGCACGCTGACGTTTGTCCGCTTGTCTTCCCAAGAGATTTGCAGGATTTTCCGGAGGCAGCGCTGATGGAATCGTTCCAGGAGTTGCATGTGACGTCTGTAGACAGTCCACGTTTCGCAGGCATAGAGCAGGGTCGGGAGGACAATAGCTTTATAAACAAGCACCTTGGTATCCCTACGGATGTCCCGGTCCTCAAACACTCTCTGCTTCATTCGGAAAAATGCTGCGCTTGCAGAGCTCAGGCGGTGTTGTATTTCGGCGTCGATGTTGACTTTGGTGGAGAGGTGGCTGCCAAGGTTGTCTCAAAACCAAATGGCAATGAGAGTGACTGGTCTCGCAAAACCCTCTTATAGTGCCAAGGCAAACAGGGATGTCAGGAGAGGAGAGGCACACTACCCACAAAAGACTACTACTACCACATCAGCTCTAGATTATTAAGTACAGTTTTCTGTGGGCAAGTAGATGGTGACTACTGGGTGGCATATGTTCTGTATCAGAAACTAGAGCTGATACAGTCTATCCAATGCATTTTTTTGAATCAGCACCCCAAATAACCAAACTAAATCTAAAGTGGACTAAAAACTCACCCGTAATCCTTTTGGTACTAATGTTGGAGAGTGGTCCCTGGTCAAGTGGTCCTTGGTCAAAAAACAATTGGGAACCACTGCTTTAGGCACCAAAATGCCTTGGGCCAATCTGGCAGTGGAAAAATCTGTTATCATCCCACTTTTCCAGCCACTTTTCAAATGTCTTTATTTTTCTCCTCCCACTTTTCTCCTTCGACATAATCTTATTTTATTTGCTGCAACCTGAATTCAAAGCACAAAATAAGTTTTAACTAAATAGAGAGAAGATGAGAGGAGTGGGAAGAATCTTGTCCTTTCCAGTAGTCTCACACAAAAGAAAACGGCTGCCGTCTCTCCCAGTTTGTGTGTTCTTCCTCATTAATACTTTTTGCAACCTAATCTTCTCTCAAGTTGGTGTCTCACACAAGCTTGCAAAATGTTTTTGTCTGTGAAATATCAAGATAGGAATATTATGATTCTTATACAGGCAGTTCCTTAGTCCCAAACATCCAATTTGCGAATGCTTCATAGTTAAGAACATGGGTGGGACAACAGAAAGTGAGTGAAATCTACCCTCGGAAGGGGAATCCACTCCTGAAAGAGGAAAAGATGTCTCCACTGAAGCTTTAGTAGCAATCTTTCTTTCCACAACAAACCAAAATTGTGGAACAGAAGGGGACAGAAAGTGCAGTGAAATCTTCTGAACAGAGGCACAGACAGCAAAACAAACACCACAAGGGTGTTCCTCTTCCCTATGCTATCCAAAGCGCTCTCTCTCTCTCTCTCTCTCTCTCTCTAGCTTTGGATATGTGTGTGTGTGTGTGTGTGTGTGTGTGTGTGTATGTAATTCCAACCATATATATATCCAATCTCTAGCTTTGGAGATAGAGATAGATAGATCCAAAGCTAGAGATTGGATATATATATATATGTGGTTGGAATTACACTTAAAAATGTACCTGTTCCAATTTACAAATAAATTCAACTTAAGGACAAATCTACAGAACCTATCTGGTTCATAACTTAGGGAATGCCTGCACTCAGCTCTAAGACTAGCCACTATTGCCATGTTGTTTATGGCAATGTTTCACAAACTTGTCAGAATGCAGAAAAGATGCGGGCCCTATAAAATACTTATGTGCTTGTTTATTTAAACGACTTCCTTAGCTCAGACCTCTTCCTGACTGGAAGTTTAAAAAAGAGTGCAAGGTGTCTTATTAAAACAGAATAAAGTCCAGTTAAAGAGTTAAAAAGGTAATGAGTGTGAACCAACATAGACTTAAGTGCACTTAACCTAATTGAAACGAATAGACTTACATGCACTTAAGTCTGCATTGGGCTGGAGCCAAGTGATGTAATAACTTCTAATCCTCTTATGCAAGGGCGGGCAAAGTGCAATCTCTAAATATTGCTGGACTGGTATTCCCAGCATAAGTCACCACTGGCTACTCTGCGCCAGGGCTGATTGGAGTTGCAATCCAACAATATTATGAAGGCTGCCATTTGCATGCCCAGACTCTTTTACCCCAAACCATTGTATGATATTAAATGTTATAATTAATATTTTTAGATTTCTGGTGTTTCAAGTATTCTGCCTAATCTGCAATAAACAGAACATGTATTATGGGGGAAAATCCATTTTCTTTTTGTAACTGTGGAGGTTTGCAAGCTGCTACAATGGCTATATGTCCTTGATTCCAATAATTCATTAACAACACTGGGACTCAAAGTGGCTTCCACAAGTTAAAGCAAACACACACGAAGCCATACCGATAATAGAACCTTTCCTTTGGATTCTTGCGGCCAAATCTTGAGAAAGGCATTCAACCTTTCAGAATATTGGGAGGGGGGAGGGAATATAAAATCACTTAAAATAGTTTGGGAGTGGTGTCAATCCTGAGGGTCCCAGAAGGGGCATCAGGTTTTAAGATTCTCCAGCTCTAGATTAGAGAGCAGATTTCTTCCTGACCACCCCCCTTGCTGTCATTGCTACCCACCACTGTATTTATTATCAATTTTCCCAATAGTAATAATAATAACAACAACAACAACAACAACAACAACAACAACAACTTAATTTTATATTCCATCACTATCTCCCCAAAGGGACTCGAGGGGACCAAGCCCAACATAAACAAGGATTACAAGCTAAAACACAATTAAAACTATAATAACATATAAACAATCTAATTAAAACAATTAAAACCAGCAGAGTAAAAACATCATAAAAATGCATCAACCAACATCAACAAACAGTAATCAGGAAATGGTGGGCATGATCAGATTCGAGAGGGCAAGGCAAGGACTTTTGCGAAACGCAGACTATAGGGCCAGGCTGGGGGTAAAGTGATGAAAAAAAAAACAAATCAATAAATTAGGGCTGGCAGACCTGATTGGAGACCAAACCCATCAGGGCCATGCTGTCCATTTGACCCTTTAGGAACTGAGAATACACAATTCAAAATAAATATATTTTTGGCTTCCAATTGTTAACTAATACACACATTTGAGGTCCATAGAGGTTAATACAGAAGTTTTTGGAATTATGTCTTTCCCTAATAGTACGCCAGGGCAAGGCAGGGAGTTAAATATGAAAGTGCCTAGAGCCTACAAAAGCTTTAAAGGTCTGAGTTATACAACAGATGCGAATCTAGTTGTTGGTGTGAATGGCCAAGTTTGCTGCAGCAATTGTCAATGAGTGCTAGATGGAGGGTAAGAGGCTAGTATCTTGGGAGAGAAGACAAGTGAGGTGGACTTCAAGTGGGTACTTACTTACTTTACTCGTTCTCTGAGTAGGATTGTCTTCCTGGCGGTGGGTCCATAGGTGACTGTGGAGCCCTATTCTTGACCTGCATTTTCTCCCAGAGTGAGGGCATCGGTTTCCAGGTGGAAGGTGGTCTCTGTCGGGGTTGGCTTGACGCACCTTCCTCTTGGCATGCTTCTCTCTTTCACCCTCCATTTGTGCCTCTTCAAATTCTACAGTACTGCTGGTCACAGCTGACCTCCAGCTGGAGTGCTCAAGGGCCAGGGCTTCAAGTGGGTACCGTTTGGTAAGGCACATGAGTGCCAGCAAAACATCCATGGTCCAAGGTACTGCTCAGGCCAGGCCAATGTCTTCAAAATAAAGGCACTGGTAGAGAATTTCCACGAAGATGGTGCCCTGTATTAATTAATTAATTGGGAGATTTTCCCAAAATGTCCTGGGCCAGCCAACTCTGGCAAGGCAGTATTGTTATCCTGGGGCACATCTACACTGACCATTTAGGTCAATTCCAAACCGGAATACCAGAAACTGGTTTCACTGTACAGGTGATTAAACTGGCCTCTTTGGAACCATCTTGAGGCCCTGATGTTGATTACACAACCACAAAGAGTGGCTTCAAACCAATTCAGGTATCCACAATATTTTCAATGACTGCTGTAGAGACTACAGTGTATTTTTCGACTCACTCTACAGAAATGCACATGTGCACATGAGTGGAGTGCTCCTTGTGTGCGCATCCTGCTGAGTCGCTTTCACCCTGTGTTATGGCTTCACACTAGAGTATGCTGATGCACATTAAGGCTTCTATTTCAGAGTACTCCCCAACTTTGAAAATCTTGCTGTAAAGGTCTTAAAGTGTTCTAAGGAGCACTTTTGCAGTGTGCATTGAATTAGCCGCTGCACTTTGTAACTGACTCCAAGTTGCATCAAAGGGTCAGTGTACACAGGGCTCTGGTTCAATGAAATAATGATTGGACATCAAGGCATTGCAAGTCAGTACCTAAATGTCAGGATACGGGGGCAGTGAGTGACAGTCCATTCTTTGGAGACTTTGAATGGCTGTTGTGTTCCTTCACCTATATTTATCCCATATTATTTGTTCAACCTTGAAGCAAATGGGGAAATAGCCAGCAGGTGGCGCTCCAAAACAGGATTGCCTTGCCCACCCTCTACTATGAGGTAACCAAATTTGCATCAACTTGCACTTGGCAGGCTGGATTTAGATCCTGTCCTCCGTTTCCTTTCATCTAATTAATTTAGACCCTGCCCGACCTTTGGTTGCATCGATTTCTGCTTGGCACAGAATGGGAGCAGCAAACCCTGAAGCCATTTTAATTTTTATCATCTTCACCTTACCTTCCTGTAGTTATTGTGGAGAAGACGTAAAGGGGAAGGGGAGACAAAAAGATTGCATGGCTGACATCCCAATACATGTGACAGAACTAATATATCGGACACATAGGTTGACTTTTGCCAACACTGCAAGCTTTCAATGTGAAAGCCCCTATTTGAAATAAGAATGCTGGCAGTTCTAATTGTTTTTAGTTTTGACAAGTGTTTTATAAAATACTAGCTGTCCCCTGCCACGTGTTGCTGTGGCCCAGTCTGTTGATCTGGAAAATAAAGTAATGCGAAAGTGTGGGTTTCTAATATATGTAATTTCTTTATGCTTGTGGGTTAACAGTTTTTCTTGCTGTTTCTTTGTCAGTGTTGATGTGGAGAGTGTCTGGTTTGCCCTGGAACATGCTACATACCATTGTCCTTCTTTAAGGGCCCCTTTCAAATCTATGATACTATATCTGTGTGTGTGTCAATCATATCTACTATCTATCTATCTATCCACCTATCTATCTATATCTATGGCTGGATGGCTCTTTGTCAGGAGGGCTTTGATTACGTTTTCTTGCCCTGATGAAGGGAGTTGGATTGGATGGCCTTAAGTATTTTCTGTTGGTCATGGGGCTTCTGTGTGGGACATTTGCCCCGATTCTGTCGTTCGTGGGGTTCAGAATGCTCTTTGAAGGTGAACTGTGAATCCCAGTGACCACAACTCCCAAATGCCAAGGTCTATTTCCCCCAAACTCCATCTGTGTTCATATTTGGGCGTATTGAGTGCTTGTGCCAAGTTTGGTCCAGATCCATCATTGTTTGAGTCAACAGTGTTTGAGTCAACATACTCTTCATTATGCAACTTAAAATAATTGAGGGGTTTGAATAAAACCCCTCAATAAAAAGCACTCCCATTGGACCCAGTTCAGAGGAACAGAAATGTAACAGTGAATTGGCTGTGGATAGGTGAAGTGGCCCTTTGTCATGTGACTGGGAAATAAAGGAAGTGAAGCAGATTGCTAAGTAGCTAAGTGACATGTGTGAGGAGGAAAACAAGGAGGAAGGGGAAAGAAACAGAAAAAAGAAGGGAAAGAAACAAAGGGAGGAGGAAGGAATATAGGAAAGGAGAGGAAAGGGGGAAGGTATGAGGGGAGGGAAGAAAGAGAAAGAAAGGGAGAAGGAAGAAACGGAGGAGGGGAGGGAAGCAAGCAGGAAGGAAGGAAGGAAGGAAGGAAGGAAGGAAGGAAAAAAGAAAGAAAAAGGAGGGAAGGAAGCAAAGGAGAAGAAGAAAAGAAAGGGAAAAAGAATGAGGAGGAAAGAAAGTAGGGAAGAGAACAGAAGGAAGAGAAAGGAAATAATGTTGCGGGGGAAGGTGTGTTAGAAAAAGCAAAGGAGGAAAGGAATAAAAGAGAGATGTATGAGGGAAATGGAGGAAGAAAGAGAGCCTGTCCGAAGATTGTTGCCAAAGTATTGCCATGGAGGCATTGTCAAGGCTGGAGAAGGGAGAAAGCAGGTGGACACTGGCCCCTCTGACGGCCAGTCAGTGCTGGGTGTATACGCTAGTGTAAACTATAAAACTAGAACACCATATGGTCAGAATAAATTGGTCACTAAAAATACTTTCAATGCCTCAGAAATGTGCAAATGTATTGAAGCTTGTGTTTGTACAGTCTGGGGTTATGTTACGTAGCCTATTAAACAATATGACCTAGGGAGAAAAGTGAGTGGGTGTTTCAAAACGATGGACCCAATTTCAGCGCAGCATATTTCACAACAGGAATGTGTAACAATTATACAAAAAGTGACAAATGGTTTAATGAGTTATCAAGTTATAAAGTTTTGAGCCAGAAACATTTTTTAAAAAAAGCAGCTCTGAAAATGAAGAATATCTCATTAGGCCTTATGTTGCGGGGTTGCTATCTTGTGAATGGCTGGGGCTAGGCCAAGCATGGGCAAACTTGGGCCCTCCAGGTGTTTTGGACTTCAACTCCCACAATTCCTAACAGCCTAGCAGCTGTTGAACTGTGGGTGTTGAAGTCCAAAACACCTGGAGGGCTCAAGTTTGCCCATGCCTGGGCTAGGGGATGTTTGTGTGTTGGAAGAGGCACCTAGTGGCCATCCTTTAAAAGGCATCTAGTGGTCATCTCTGCCCCACTCCTTCAAGGAGGAGGCGTTTCATTCATGGGTAGAGCGTGGTTGCAGAGAAACAGTGGTTTCAAACTGAGTCCATCTGTTTGAAACACCCTGTATTTGTAGATGGCAAAGGGGCGTTTCATGACTCCTTATTTATTTATTTACAGTATTTATATTCCTCCCTTCTCACCCCTCAGGGGACTCAGGGCGGATTACAATGTACATATACATGGCAAACATTCAATGCCATAGACACACAACATATATAGACAGACACTCAGAGGCTATTTAACATTCCAGCTTTTCATGAGGGTATTTTGGTCACCAGGGGAGCTGTCGCTTCACCGTTCATTTGTGATACTGATGGAGTACTTCCTCATTAGTTGCATACTTGCTGGAGATTTTTATGGCGTTGTAAATTAGTGAAATTTGCCTCCCCGTATAAGCAGTACCCAAAATTTCCTACTTGACAGATGCAACTGTCTTTCGGGCTGCAAAGGTCAACAGTGAGCTACACAATGGTTGGAAGCTCACTCTGACCCAGGCTGGCTTCGAACTCATGACCTTTTGGTCAGTAGTGATCTAATGCAGCTGAATGATTAGACACAGTCCCTTGTCTAATCGTTCCTCTTTGCAAATACCCACAGTCATTTTATGTATTCTTTTTATACTTCTTAGCTGCCTTTCAAGAATGTAGTATTCCCAAATCCATGTATATGCCCCATCTCCCTGCTGCCCGAATGTGAAATCGAATCAGATTGGCTGCAGGGAAAATGGTCTTGGTCAGGAGATATGCCAGGGAATTTCCATAGAAATGGAAACAGTTCAAGAAACTCCACTTTAAAAAAAACCCTGCTGGCTCATTCTTCTCCCCAAATACCTCTCTCATTGCTGCATTTGTGTTATCTTGGTGAACACATATTTGAAAGCAGGCAGTTGCCAAAATAATGCATAGTTTCAGATGTAGATACATGGGATTTTGCTTGCGGGAGGCCCAAACTCCCTCTGCCTGACTGTTTTTCTAGTTAGGGATAGAAGCAACAAAAAGAGGACAATTCGGTCTGAGAAGGGAAAACAGCAAAGTTTGCATATTTGTCCATCTGCCAAATGTAAGATTTATCTCCTGTCATTTTGTTTTCAGGTCCCACGTTTTCTGGCCCTGTCGACGTTAGATTGACTGACTTGCTTCAGACCGTCTCATCTTTTCTGGGCAAGTATCAGGCCTTGAACTGCAGGGAGGCCATTCAGCAAACCACGGCTGCCCTCATCACCTGCGTTAATGGTACGTTTTCTCTGCCTACAGAGTGTCGAGCCAACCTGCGCAACACGGTCAAATAAATTTCAAATAATATTTTGAGAATGGTATAAACATTCAGGATGCTGGCCTCCCCCATTCCTACATGGGGTCATTTTAGCAAGTTCAGCTCTCCATGTCACAAAAATGAGAGAAGAGACTTTTGTCACAATTAGCTCTTCCATACATTTATTTATTCATTTACATTTGCATCCCTGCAAGGAATTTAAGTGGCTTAAAATGCATCTGCACTGTAGAATTAATGCAGTTTGATGGATAGGGATCAATGTTATGGAATCTTGGAAGTTACAGTTTTGTGAAGTCTTTAGCCTTCTTTGCCCAAGTGTGCTGGTGTCTCACTACAATTCCTCAAATTCCATAGCATTGAAGTGGTGTTAAACAGCATAAACTCTAGAGTGTAGATGCACACATATTTAGTTCCATTATATAAATACACATATTAAAATGTATCTCTACAAAGACTCTACTGTATTAAAATACAATAGAGTCTCGCTTATTCAACATAAACGGACCGGCAGAATGTTGGATAAGCGAAAATGTTGGATAATAAGGAGGGATTAAGGAAAAGCCTATTAAACATCAAATTACATTATGATTTTACAAAGTAAGTACCAAAACATCATGTTTTACAACAAATTGACAGAAAAAGCAGTTCAATACATGGTAACATTACGTAGTAAGTACTGTATTTACAATTTTAGCACCACAACATCACAAAGTATTGAAACAGCTGTGGATCTGGGCAGGAGGCAGACTGTGTTGGATAATACAGAACGTTGGACGAGCGAAGGTTGGATAAGCGAGACTCTCCTGTATGCAGAACAATTATTAAAATACAGTGGACACAAGACATATGTTTAAAATTCAGGATTAAAACTGGCTGGGTAGGCTTGCCAGAAGAGATGGGTCTTCAATTGTATCTTAGGCCTGTTCTGCACTGCCAGATAAAATCCAGATTATCTGCTTTGAACTGGATTATACGGCAGTGTAGACTTATATAATCCACTTCAAAGCAGATAATGTGAATTATTTGCTTTGATAATTGGAATCATTTGGCAGTGTCGAAGGGGCCTCAAATTCCACAGTTGATTTCATCTTCATAGGCTGAGAAAGTGATACAAAGTTCTTCATTGTCAATATCCATGGACGTTCTTGCACCAGCCTTATATAACAGATGCAATTGTCGAAGTTGCTCCTGAAAAATTCTGGGAAATGTAGTTCAGGGCAGAACATTTGGAATTTTCAGCTAGAGAGGTCCCCGGCTTCCCTAAACTATATTTTCCAGAATTTTCCAGGAGCAGATCAGACGATAGCCTCCATTCTATAACATAGGTGGGAAAAATTGTGAAGCTGAGAACAGGTAGTTCAGGCCTCAGTAGCTGAAAACAATAAAAAAAAGTGGGAAATGGGGTGCAGGAGGAAAAGACAAAAGGGTCAATCAGTTTTTCTCTGAAAGAGCTAGCGGAGGAAATATGTGGATGAATGTCTCCCTAAAGCAGTGGTTCTCAACCTGTGGGTCCCCAGATATT